AWTRSGMMYWTYYAMGAAGATGAAACTTTGATCTGATAAGTTTGAGTATTCTCATTGCCTGTTTGATGGATTGTGTATGGATATTTTAGGGAGAAGTTACATGTTAATCACTCTTGGGAGTGAAGGGCTAAGGTCCGGTTAGTTAGTGACAGGGAACTAAGTTTCGTTGCACTTTCTCTTGGATAATATCAGTGCATTGTAATAAGCTCAAATGATTTTTTGCGTCTTTTCTTAGTTGGAAAGGCTAGATCAGCTGTTCGAAGAGGAACCATTCCTCTTGTTAGCTGGAATCAAATGCACTTCACCTTGGCCTGTTACCATGGTTGCCACGACATTAAATATGGTGAGGCCATAAACCATATATGTTCGCAAAAATACTGTTTGTTTTTCTTTAGAAATATAGTCGAGGAGATATCAAGTTGATGGATCAGGGGAGCATGAGCTTTACGGCTACAAGAAATTAGCGGGGTGGGGTGGGTCGGGGTGAAGTCTCCGATTACGCAGAGGAGAGGATCCCTGACTTCACCTAGTACCCACTGAGTTGCGCTGGGAATGTAAGGTGTTGCATAGATAGAGGATATTATATGTCCGCTTGGAGGTACCAAATTTCTCTTCTCGTGTTGAAAAATATTTCACACGTGAGTCAAGCGATAATTCGAAAAAAAATATTTCACTCGTGAAGTATTTTTTGTATCTCCGAGCGGCCATATGAAGCTATTTTTATTACACAAAAACAAATGAAAAAACAATCCATGTCACTTTCGCTCGGAAAGGCGCAATTTATTTTAACCATAGTAACATTTTATTTTCACGTGTGAAGATAACCTATTATTTACATGTGTGAAGATGTTACGTTTACGCGCGAAAGCTCACCTAGGATTTTTTCGAAATGAATATGTTAAATATCTATCTATATAATATATGTATATAAAGGCTTGAGTGCGTGTTTCCCCCCCGTGGCCCCCCCACCCCCGTGAGAAAAGCATCTTTAAGTGAACACGTTCGGAACACGCCCGGAATCTCGCGAAAACGATATGACATGAACTATATTTCGACCTTTGGATAAGATGGCATGTCTCAAATTGATCTTCCCCAGATAACTGCAATTTAATTCATTAAAGAAAGAGTAATCTGAGAAATTCCGGCTTTATTGGGGATTGACGAGAAACCGATACCTCCTATATAGTTGGGCGCTACAACTAACTGAGCTACGAAGCAGAAGCAGACATTCTGGACTACTGATTTTTTGTTTGATTTCAGTCTCCAGAAGTGAACATTGTTGGCGAAGAGATGGGATCACAGTTACAAGGGAGTAAGGATTGCCTGTCTTTGTTATATTTTATTTTTATTATGCTATGTAAGCGCATTGAGATCCTGAAATGCGCTCATAAAAACCTTACTATTATTATTATTACTATTACTGATCTGAATTAGTTAAGGTTACTTCTACTTGCGTCGTTATCCGAAAAACTCCGCGTGCGATTCTCGTCGTTAGAGTATATCGAGCTTCTTTTCAACTAATCGCCGAGTATTTGGGGAAGCTAGACAAGATTGAGCGTTTCCCTCCCCAATGGAGGGAAACTGCATGGGAAAACCTTTTTGAGGGGCTTTTAAGGTCCCTCTTTATAACGTAACATAAAGCTTTGCGTTATGTGCCCCAGCTATCTGATCTTCAAACTGTAGGTTTGAATATTCCTGATAAAAACTGGCGATTATTCCCGACTTACTAGCTGTTGAGTCTTTACAGGATACTCGGTCTATTTCTTCTTCTAATTCCACGTATGTTGGTCCAAGTCTCTTTGCAGCAGGGCGAAAGTGCGTCGGAATGCTACTGCTTAGCTGTGAAAGAGGGTGTCAGTAAAATGAAGGTCGTAAACATTGGGAGTCTTGCCCTCCAGTGGAGACGGTGAGTTCCTGATTACACTTGAGGGAGTCTAAGGCAAAAGAGAGAATTAAAGCAATACTTGGTTGAGTGCCGAATGTAATACCAAACTGTAGTGGTCTTGCTTTCCTTCGCTTTGTGATTAGCTTAGGAAAGTTGCGCCACTCTCTCTCTTTCTCGACCAATCATGAGACGCAAATTAGAACCAATCGCGACTTGGTCAACCGCGTTTTCCCACGCCTATTTTTACTTTGAGTTCTCATGGGCTCCTTTTGAAATATCCTTTGTTCTAATTGGCTCATTTTATTACTTTGTTTTTTCGGTTTTTACCAATACTTAATATTCCCATTGATGCCATTTCAATAGTAAACTGAACCTCATTTTTGGGAATATGTCTAAGTACTTTTGTTGCTTGATTCATTCCTTTCGTGTTTTTTATTCTCTAGAACTTCGGCGACTGATAAGTTTCCAGTTGTGGTCACAGAGCTTACTTTTCCTTCTGTAACAGTAGAAAGTGTTCCTTTTGCGATACAGGCAGGTAGGTCGCCAGCAATGTTATTCATAAGGCAATATGCCACGCGTCAAAATCGAACCATGCACAAAAAGGTTTGTTTATGCTTCGCGCTGTTTACGTGATAGTATCGTACAACTGTTCTAGAGACTACGTTGTCCAAACGTGTTACAACTATCAGTTCTACACTCATGTAACAGGGAGAACCAAATTGAGCAGTTTATAAAACCTTGTGAAAATCCTGGTAAATTATTATAATCGCGATGAGGTCGATATAGTTGTGTGAAAGCACTCTTCCTGCACTTTTGCAGGCTTTTAAAATTTTTGAGAGATGGGTAAAGGGTAAAGCGGGAAAGCTCGGTTGTAAAGAAGTAAAGAAACGTTTATTTTGTCTAGTCACAAGCGAAGGACAAATAAAACAGTAAGAGCATTCGAGGGCTTGAGGTGTGATTCCTCATACGGACTCAACCAAAAAAACTTTCTTCTTCAAGGTACTTATGTTTTTTTTTTTTTAGAGTTACCTGCATACGGCTGCGTACAGACTCCACTTTTTGTAAGCTATCTCGTCCGCAATAGGACGCCTCAAGTCCAGGAAGTAGAAGTGACAGTGGAGCCAAGTGACGCTTTCGTGTATTCAGGTCATAGACAGGTTAGTTCAGCCTACTCGCAACAAGTAAAACATATCTCATGTAAGGGGCGATGTGGTGGATTCTGACCGGCTACTCAAATTCCGAATATCCTTTGGTGAATAGTTGTTAACTATATATTTCTTCTCCAGATTCAATTCCGACTGCTGCCAACTGGTGATCATAGGCTCAAGTTTAGTTTGTATCCTCTTTACGCTGGCTTTGTGACTCTTCCCAAGCTGCATTTCAATCTGCCTCGCTTTCAGGCTAGCTGGGATGAGCATGCCCAGAAATTGGTTCCAACCAATGTTTTTATAAAGGTAAGAAACATTTTTATGTCCAAAACGTGAAAACATGCAAGTGTTTTACAACACGTCGTCAAAACATCGGATATCACCCGATTTGGTTGGTTATTTTTGTTAACACAATCCTGAGAAGAGGTTTTTCTCACGTTCCTTTTCGGTTCCTCATACCCTTGTAATCTTACGGAAAGGCTCAGCCCTTGAACTCTTTCGCTACCAAGATCTCATTAATAATTCTCTCTACTGTCTGCCTTACAATTCTTGAGATATATGGATCAACTAATAATCGGCTAATTTATATTTTTCTCTATTCTCCTCACTTGCCAGCTTGATATTTTATTGATATTTTAAAATGAAATTCTGCCTTGGTCACTCATGGAAGTGAAGAGTTAATCGTTTGACTGCTGAAAGCGGATGTTCACTCTTTGGCCTAGTGGCTGTATTTGCCCCACCTTTACGACGGCCTTAAAACGAAAAGCAAAAAAAAAAACAACAAAAAGACAGCTGCAGGAAGTTTGGTGGAAGGGTTGGTTTTGTAGTGTTGTACTAAACTGTGTGGACTGCCAAAATGAATGAATCTTCAATAAGTCATAAGTTTTCAAAGTTAGCGTGTAGGATATCCTTGCGAAAACAGGTAAAGCAGGGCTCGACACTAACTTTTCAACTAACTAGCCAAGTAGCTAGTGACAACTTAGATGTTACAACAATTTCAGTTTGCTTACTAGCCAAACTGGCTAGTGGAAATCAACCATTAGCCGAAACCGAATTTCTATTAGTCTGTGGCTAGTTGGCTACCGTTAGTGCGGAGCCCTGTAAAGAAGTATTACCATATAACTAGCCACCGGAATACCGGAGGAAAATTCATTCTTGATGTGTCTGTTATCACACAGCCTCGAGGCCGGGAATTGGTATCCAAGCAGAAGCCTGGTTACGAATACTGAGATAAAGAGCAGAGCAATGGAGACTGGAGGCAAACTTTCTAATTATGGTCACACAAGGATATTAACCAGTAAAGTGGTGCGGTGGAGGTTTAAACTGCTCTAAACCGACAGCAGATAAAAGGAATATATTTTAGGTAGTGCATTTATCGGCTGGCTGGTGAATTGCAGGTGTTTAAGGCAAAACGGAGCTGTGATTAACAAAACTGTCAGCGTTTCGTGCGCATGTCCTATTGATATGAAGTAAAAACGCACTCATTTGTGAAAGTTATATTAGGATGTACCGCGCCACTTCCTTACTGTGGATTAAGAAAAACAAGAATAACGCTACTACATGTAATGACGACTCAGTTAGCGAGTTTCGCTGTTACTGGGTTTCTTCCTCGCCCGCGTTGACTACTGGTCAACATGTCTAAGTTATGCACATAATTATTCCTTGGGAATTAGATGAAAGCACTTCTCAACTGAGTATCGTAAAGCCAAACCATTATAATCACAACGGCCAATCAAAGGAAGAAAACAAGTTAAAGAAACCATGAGAAATCAGGGGGAAAATAAGCAAACTGCCTAAAGCGCGGGAAAACGCGGGCGACAAGTCGTGAGTGGTTTTAAGTTTACATCTGATTGGTTGAGAGAGAAACGCGAGTGTTCTGGACCAATTACAGAGTGAAGTTAAGCAAAACCAATGCAATCCTGGCTTACTTTCGACAATCAATAGAAATTTTTTCATGAGTTCGAGATTTCTTTGGCGTGATAGTTGATGATAGCCAAGCTTAGAGCTTACAACGTCTATTCTTCTACAAGTTATTGTTACTTAGCAATGGAATTTTAAAAGTCGACAGAGTCTTCGTCGTTTAAACTTAAACTGGCCAAAATGTAAAAAAAAAAAAACAAACGAAAAAAAGTATCAAAATTACAACGAATCCCTAAAATCAATGGCATCAGCCATTCTGTAAATTGAAATTTAGGAAATAGAAATGAAATTGTGATGTTGCAATGTTTACGTACTTACTCAATAGTAATTCCTTACGATACAAGGACAACCTACAGATGTTACGAGGGGATCTGGCAAAGAGGAGTGGAAAACGTGTCAGAACTTCCAAATGACTCTGTTCTAACGAATTGTAAGCGCTGTACAATTGAGCCTAGTCAGAGACGTAATGGTACGAAGTAATATATTTTATAAATATCTGAGATACTACGATCGCTTTGATTGGTTGAAAGCTTGTCGTTTATTGCTATAGTTAACCCATAAAAACTGAAACATATTAGGGACTTTAAGCAAACCACGACAGCTACGGCAACGAGAACATGGAAAAACAATAGATCTAATTGGCAGAACAATAGCCCATCACGTGCGTTTTAAAACTTTGTACATTTCGTAGCCGTCCTTTGCAAAACAACAACGTGAAATCACCAAAATTTGCGTCGTCTGCGAAGCGAAACCGCAGTGGCAAATTACTTTAATTTACATTTGGAACTCAACGCCACCTTTATGCGTTATGAGTTTGAGGTCTGGCGCCCTATGAGACGGTAAACACATGCAGCCATTTTCGAAATTCTAACTAAAAGTAGAAACTCATTTTTACTCGACGTGTTCCATTGCGTTGCCGTCCTGACTGCTTAAAGTCCCTATTGCCTTTTGTTTTAAGTTTACTTTGTATGGGCAATAGAACTCACTTGCTATCAGTTTCACGGCGCAATAACCACTTGGAATGTCGGAGGTTTGTAAAATCAGTCAGCTTCTGCTTGTGATTTACAAATAGTTCTCTCAACATCCCATAGGTTAAGTCCATTGCTTCAATATCTTATTTGACAAAGAAAATATCTTAACTAAATTTCAAATCCTTTTGTGTTAAGTAACACGTTGTTACTTGAGGTCGACGTCATTTAATTCATAAACTATGAAAGCCGGTTATTTAACCCTTTGAATACGAAATAGACCATATTTATTCAGTTGTAATTTGGCGATACAAACTTAACCTCACTTCGTTGTTCCTTATATGGATCTTCCGTTACACTATTTGCGGTTTTGAGACACCATGGGCTCAGACCTTGGGGTCACATGACCTAGATCAACAGGACAGAGCTGAATAACGTCTACGCATGCGCCAGGTTTTGCTGCGGAAACACGAAGTATGGCTTCCGGATTTTGAGTCGTTCGCATGGTTGATTTCCTGTTCTTTTGCTCCGTGGCGTCGTTTTCCTGACCGCTTTTCTTTTACAGAACAACCTCCAAAAATTTGGTACACCCCTTAAAAGTTTTCAAAAATTAATTTTCTCCTTTCGACCTTTGGAAATAGGAAAGTGCCTTCGACGAAAACAGAGTTCCTCGGTTTTAAAGGTCAGCCCTTTTTATTTTCTGCAAATTTCCCAAAATTTTAGACCTAGGACACTTGAGCCCACGTTTTTGACCGCATACCCGCTCACGTAGCATTTCATTATTCAGCTCTGTCGATCAACAGTTCGTGTTTGGATGCCTTCAAATCGACTCGGTTTCTCGCTTTTGTGGCTGTTTATAAGTGTTTTTCGAGCCATTTTCCCTCTATAGAAGCCCTCACGACGGCATCATTAAGCTGGGTTGTGGGTAGAGGCAAGTCTCTGAAGGAAAACAGAGGTGAGAGATGGTTTAATGTAGAGTGGACCGCCAACGATGCTTTACTGCCAGCTTGGCGAGTTCACAAGTGAAGTTGTCTCTCGGGCCCATCTGTGGATGGCTTCCAGGACCTACCAAGGCTATGTGGCCAAGTTTTGACCGGTAAGAATTTCAATCGATGCGATATTTTGCTGGTAGGACTGGATGGTCCGACACGATTCTAATAATTCTTTGAAATGGAAATGATAGTAGTTGCCTTTTCGAGTTATGGCGCGAAATTACCCAGAACTCTTTTCGGGCATGAACAAGGCAACGGTTGTGTTCGCGACACTGGCTTTCATCAAATGGAGAAAGAAGGGCTGGCAGATAAAGTGAGAAGGAATTTTCTTTCCAAACTCCAAGATCTGGCCCTGAGGTGCGATTTGAACGCAAACTTTTGATTTTTTTTAGCAATTTCTTATCTTAAAAGATCGACATGTTTTTGGTGTTGCTCTTGGAGCACAATGCTGGACTTTGGGATTTGTTGCCATACGAACGGTTCACTGCAATGAAAATCAGGAATCGTTGTGGGCGTTTTAGGTTGCAATAGGTTTCACATCAACGAGCCGGTACAATTTACACACTTACATAATGTTGTGTCTTTAAGGCCCATTTTCATCCGAGATCCTTTGCAATCGTTTGTTTTTGTTTTGGAATCGCGCTATTGTTAAATGGCGAACTCTGATAGTCATTCACAAACACTATTAAAAAGAAAAACAAAGATTCGGTGAAGAACACAGTAAACAAATTTGCAGCTAAATATTTGCGACTGAAAAATCATAAATCGAGTCTGTGTATAAAACATGTACAAAGCTTACTTGATGTTGAAGGAAATTGTTCGGCTTCAACACTAGATAAAAATATAAACAAATAACCAATATTGGCCAAAACGGACTTACTTTACGCATTTCAATTATAGAATAATGACTTGTACAAATGAGATCGCTTACATACATATCTCAGGATCTCAAGTAAAAATCAGTCAAATAATTATTCTCACCTCGAAAAAATCTCCCCGGAGTCTCTAGTTCCATCGTAGGAACAATGCAATAACATTTCTGCAAAAGCACTGTCTGTANATTCACCGCCGTTCGACACGACGAAATTGACGCATTCCACAACCACCTTAACGAACAAAACACTGACATACAGTTTACCAGAGAAGTCGAAGAAAATGGCAAACTTCCTTTTCTAGACTGCCTGGTAAGCCACAACGACAACTCATTACGAACGACAGTTTACAGGAAACCGACACACACCGACAGATTACTAGACGAGTCATCCTACAACCCTACATCACACAAAGCCACAACTATCAGAACTCTAACACGACGCGCACAACTAGTATGTGACTCGACAGACAGCTTATCCGACGAGAACAAATACCTTCACCGTGTTTTTACGAAGAACAACTACAACAACGACTTCATCCGACGAAACACTCACCGACCCACTACCACTACCGAAACAAACGACACCGCAACCCCTACGACTACAGCAACCATACCGTACATAAAAGGCATGTCTGAAAACATCTCGCGCATCTTACTACCCTTCAATATCCGCGTCGCCCACAAACCCATCACCACACTACGTCAGTTACTAACCAACGTTAAAGACAAAGACGAACCGAGGAACAGACAGGGAACGATTTATAAGATCAATTGTTCCGACTGCCAAGCCTCCTACATCGGTGAGACTGGCAGAAACCTCACAACAAGACTGACTGAACACAGACGGGCGACGAGGAAAGGTGATGTCAGCAATCACATTGCTGAACACCATCGACTTACCAACCACAACATTGACTGGGACTCTGCGCAATGCCTAACCTACAGCACTGACTATTTTCAACGACTGACTCTGGAAAGCTGGTTTACTAACTTAGAACAGACTCCCCTAAACAGATGTCAACAACTACCCGCCCCATACAAACGACTCATTCACGACATAAACATCACAAACGACCGAAAAAGAACAACCCAACTTTACCGACAGACCGAAACAGACCAATCACGACCGACTTACGTCACTTGAGTCTTACAGCCAATAACATCACGGCAAAACCAACCGATCATTTCACACGAACTGGAATAAGAACATTCTACTGACAACAATCATTCACTTGACTCTGATGATGACTTCCGCACAGGTTGTCGAAACGTCAGTCACTGCCACCGACAACAGTCCTTCTCAGGACTACACTCACCCGGACGATCAGACTACACCTTCACATGTTACCCCCGGGTTCAAACCATTTACTGCATTGATAATGACACTTAGCCAAAGTCGAAACGTCGTCGTCTTTTAGCAATTTTTTCATCTTAAAGTAATTTTAAGAAATGTTTTATCGCAAGTTTATTTTGTTAAAAAATAGGGGTCCCCGATTATTTTTTTAGCCGACATCTTCGCATCCGCGAAAGAGCGTAGAGGAACGAGGCCATGCATAAGTGTCGGCAGAATTTATCAGGATTGAGTTTGGTTGTACCCAAGGTCCCAAGCCCCCGAAAAGTGATCCCTCATTTGGACTGAAGAGGTATTTGCCCCTGAACAGAGTACTGGGTTAGGGGGAGAAGGTGGAGGTTTTTGCGAGCAAGGACCACGTGATTTCCTGAGTAGGGATGGAGTGGGGATCAATCTTCGCCCAGAGAGTATACAAAGGAGAGGAATGAGGGGCAGTGGTAAGAATATTACAGAGCTTAAGGAGAGGAGGGGGGGGGGGGGGGGGAGGGAATCAGGAAATTTTATCGTGACACAACTAAAATCATCCAACCTGCCTAGGTGATTAAAACCGGCTGGCACGGTCCCTTGGCGAAACAGAAAGTATGCTAACAGGCTCTCATTGACGTGGAAGCGACCTGCTTCGTTCGCTTGCTGGAACTCTCGAAGACTAGGCCCCTTATACTGCATCACTAATGCAGCCCTCTCCTTACTCCCTCCCCCTCCATCCCAAATCCATCTAGGGACAGACCAATATTTTTCTGGGGGACATGAGAAATTTTCCTCTGCAAACATTTTTTTAGACATATACGTCTCCGCAAACATTTTTTTCCAACATAATCTTTGTGCAAACTATAGTTTCCATTTTTTTTCAGTGTTCTTCTAGATTGCGCTAAATATTACCATTGCCTTATTGAGCTATTTTACGAAGAATGTAATCAATAGTGCTATAGCCACTTATTTTATCGATATACTTTGATAATATTTTTTAATATCTTACCTGACTTCTCTGCAAACATTTTTTTACCCTATCGTGTTTTCAAACAATTTATTTTGTCTTTTCTGACCTCGCAAACAATTTTTTTTCAGTATTTCTCATACTCCCTCCAGAAAAATAATGGTCCCCCCCTCACCAGTCCAAGAACTTGGCGCGACGTCGGCGCGGCGGGAGCCTTATGTGAGCCCATGTCGGTATTTTCTTCAAGCCAGCGGTGATTCCCCATTGAGTCAAATCGAAAGTGTTGTGGATACAGGCGGAAGAGGGAAACCACCGATAAGTCGTATTAGTCCCTTTGAACCCCTCTGAAAGTGAAAGATCGGTTGATTCCCATCGTAATGTTGCTATAAACAAATTTTGGAATCCTTTTTAAATGTTGCGGAGAGCACGAGAAGGTATTCAAATCACCGGACGATTTTTCTCAGACTAAATTAAATTTTCGCGGCTGTGAAGATGGACGAGGAGGAAGAAGTGAAAACGGAATACTGTTCCAAGTGGTAAGTCCCTTGCGCAGTTTACTATATGAAGATCATCACTAGTAGGATTTCGGAGAAAGACAATGTTAAGGGGTTAGCACAATTCTGTCACTTCAAATTGTAGTTCTGTAGCACGTAATTTGAAAAACTGCTGTGTCATTTATTATTTTTTTGTCTTCAAACAAAACCTTCTGAGGCTGCTTCTTCGGCGATTGATTGTTTGTCAAAAGCACGAGTCTCTTTTTATCATCTTTCCTCAGTGATCGGTAAGACTGTCTTAAAGGTGATCGAAAGCGGAAGCGTTTTGAAGCAACCGAATCACACTTGTTATTAATAAATTTCCCTGTTTTTGGCCGGTTAAAGGTTGTTTTTGGTGATCTCATGTTCTTTATTATTTCTTTTGCATATGGCATTCGTTGTTTCTTTTGTCTTTAAATTGAAGAAGTCGTGATGGAAGAGGTTGTAGAATTTCACGTTATCGATTTATGATTAATACATTTGCATTTTCATTCCGTGGTCACTGATCCAGAAGGATCACATCTGCCTGTTCACTGTGGTAAACTATTCTTCGTTTAGAAGTTTTATGTAAAGTCAAAACAGCATTTTTTCCTGTTATGGTATTGAGACAAAATATATCATTTTCACCACCAATTTTTGTCCACAAAATTTTGGAAAAGAATATTGCATTCCTTTGTGGCTAATTTAGCTCTCATTGATGTTTGACCTGTCTGTTATGTAATATTACACTGTCGGGGTTTTGTTGAACCTTTGTCCAAGCAGAAGTGATTAGATTCAATCATGAATTAGCCATTTCTTTTTTATTCTTAGTTTTTATTAGATTCAGGCTGCAAAGCAGTTCCTATGAGTTTTTAGTGGAAGCCAAATCCTTCCCTGTCGAGTAGGAACTGGTGTTTGCCTTTATTTTATGATACAATTGGAACAAAAAGCATTCTGTAAAATGGCATGCTTGTTAGGCAGAGAATAGTGAGTGAATTAACCCCTTAACTCCCATCAGAGTGACCAAAACGGAATTTCTCCTTAAACAATCATAGGTGGACAAGTGATAAGAATTAAGAAAAATATCGATAAGGGGACTGTTAGTCGATCCAATACCAAATTCTCCAAACCAATACATAAAGAATTGTAAGACATACAGTAATAAGAATTATTACACGACTCGGGCAGTCAGAGG